CCATTGCTAATAACCTTATTTGAATTTAAACGAAGTGAGGCCCGCCTTGAAGTAAATTGTGTGCTAATATAGTAATATTAAGTGGTTTGAGGATGAAACTAAGTGGCCGTTAAGCGAAAATACATTGAATTACAGGATTTTTATAAATCAATATACAACCAATGAATGAAATGACCAATCGGATTGGTTAAACCCAATAAATACAAAGAGTAGCAGTAAACGAAATTCTCACACGAGAGGCCCCGTAATTCTACTCGATCAAGATGTTTTTGTTGAAGAACACTAACGCAGAATAGGAAATAGAACCTAGAAACAATATTGGCATTTTGAAGAATTGCTTTAATATAGCAGGGCAGGTGTACACAAGAAATAGCCAATAATAAATGCAAAAGATGACACATTGCATGTCTTTATTCAGAATTTTCACTAAAACAAGTTCAACGATTTTAAGCCGATACTAAGACCTTTACAAATTTTGATAAATGCATACTTAGTTTTGAAGTAATTAAATAACTACTCTGTTAACAATAAAAAATTTTACGTTAATGAATCAATTATAGAGAGGTCCCAACATTCATAGATCAGCATTCCTATTCTAGCAAAAGTTTCATCAATATTTCAGAGAATTAGAAAGGTGGATTTTGATACCGACAATAGAATGTGCTTAAAATGATAGCAGACTATGCGCACTGGGAATTTCGGCAAAAATAGACAAATTAGTGCATCTATTTTTGCCCTCAGTGGCTTTATTAGATAGAAACATCTTCAATTACCTTGAAGATAATTAGTACTTTGAGTGATGATTGACCATTTTTACTACTAAAGCGGATGACTTGAACAACAACCAATCGATAATTGTTAAAGTGACAAACCAAAGTCCTCAATAACGACTTAGAGGTGCCTAAAAAGAGAACATGTCAAATATCATTATGATCTCGGCTTGATTGAAATACAAAGGTCTCCATTTGGATAAGATCTTGCAAGATCATACACCGTTCTCGGTCTTAAAAAGGAACTAAATAAATCCAAACGGTAAGACAGGCTATTCTCATTAATCAACCAGGTCTCATAAACACCAGACATTCGTGGACAAGAATTTGCTCAATAAATTAATGAAACAATTAGTTAAAAAATTTGAACTTTAAAGCATAAACACCTATTGAGGATATCTAGCACAATTCGAAACCAACATAAATACATACACACTGAAGCAGGACTCATCTGATAGATCGACTTCATTTTAAAACTTCTTTCCCAAACCCAACCCCATCTAACCATTATTGGATCTTTTTTATTACCCCCATTTCACGTGCCTTGTGAAATAATATAGCTGGTTGGCTACTCACGCCAAAATGATAATATTATTAACAAATTAAATATATCTCACACTCCATATTGCCTTATGAAAAAAAAACCGTACCAAAATATGATTAATTATGAATAATTTATAAATGATAAAAAAAAGAGAGTACCATTTCTCCCATAGGCTGGAATATTGTAGACTCTCAGTCGCTCCTGCGGCCAAGCCAAGACAAGAAATTCATCCAGTAGTACATACGGCAACAATGAGTTCTTAACCCCCAGTAGAGCCACTGAAGTGAGAGCAATGTACAATCCAGTCAGGCCCACAGCAAATCCAAAGGATAAATTCTTGTATTTAAACATGAGGCCTAGTAAGAGCACGTAGACAATGCCAAACAGAATGAAATGTAGGTACACATTTTGCAGCGAATCCTTCAACAATACCAGCGCCAATTGCATAATGAATGAAGTAAGCAATAGAACTGCGGGAAAAATCGATACCAGCCTAACTAGACGCCAAAGTCGAAAGGGATTCATCACTCGGCACCAACAGCAACAATTAATGAACTTAACAAATGCAGAATTTCGACAAACATCCTCTTGAGATGACGACGATGTTGGGACATCAGGGAAAGGTTGGAAATGCGGATTGACAACATTGAAAGAATTGGAGTCAGTTTGAGTCCGACCGTAATCCCGATTGAAAGATCCATAAGAACCCGGACCGCCACCGGAATTAAAAATAGTTGGAGACAAAGGGGGTGCTCCTGAAACATGGGAGCGTCGAATACAAAAGAGATAGATCACGGCCATTAGAATACATGCCAAAGCCATTGGAATCAGCAATCCGGCAACTATCACATAACCAACTAAAAGTTGGCACATTAATGGAAAGTGAGAATCAGCCCCTTACCTTTACTTTCAGATGGTATATAACCGTAGAATATTACCAAGCAAAAGTATATGAACAAGAGAACAATTGCGATTCCACAACCTAATTCACGATTATTACCTCTAAATCCAAAACTTACGAAACCAAACACAGAAACTTCCAGCTAGAGCATAGAGAATAGCACCAATGAAAATCACTCCAATGCAGATTTCTGTTATAATTGAAGCGTTTCCGAGTAAATCACAGGAGAGTTGGTCAGATGTGATTCGAATTGAATCGGAGTGAGATTTTCCAGTATGTGGACATGCGTACAACACTGTAGGGGCATAAGCAACAAACACTGAGCTCTCAATGTCACCGGAAGAGTCCGTTTTACACTCCGCAATCACATTATAGACAGCTGCAGTTCCTAAATGCCGAGCAACTTGAATTTCATGGCTGTTATCTTCAAACAATTTCAAATCTCTACAAAAGAAACATTATAGTTAAAGACCCAAGTATTTACCTAGCTTTGAAAGTACCAACTAATGTTCCTCGTAACGGAGCTTCACCGTAGGATGAGAGTTTGCTGAGCGATCGCAAAACTTGAATCGTGTTAGGATTGTCAAAAGTATCCACAGAACCACCAGAGGTCACAAGGGGAATATAGTAAAGTCGGTAAACAAGATTGTCAAAGAAGGAAGAACTCAAGTTAGCACACGAGTTTGGGTCATTTTGCGGAGAAGCCGAATAAAATCGAATTGTGGATGTCCACCATCGCAATCTATCAACAGTTTTGCCGAGTAAATCAGCATCCTTGTTCCACCAATGGGTTTCAATAGTCGAGAAGGAAAAATGTTTAGATGAACTAATTCCACAACCACCTGGTATCACACCTTCCATTTTATGTAAAGATGCTCTTAAAGCTGCTTGAATCGTCTGAGAATGATAAGAACAAATATAGAGCATAAGAGTATCATTAATGGTTAGTTTTTGGCTAACAATTCCTAAGTTATAGCCATATTGAGAAGAATGCGTAGGACAATCACTTGATAAAGACGCCCATATTTTATTAAAAGGGCTATGAATAGTGAACGCTAGAAATTGAGAAGTGTCCGTCACTGAACCAAATGAAAACGAATTAATTCCTGGATCTAATGTAATTTCATTCCAAGTGTCAATTGGCAAGTCATCTTTGCGTTGATTAGTTTCTAAACAAAATAAACTTAGATGGTTTGATTATATGCCTACCTTCAAATAAAAATAAAATACAAAATAGGAGCAATAAAGCGGTCTTCATTTCAACTCATCCCCAAATTAGTACAGTAAAATCTGACCAATGGTAACCAGGTTCAAGGTATCCTACACTAGTTAAAACTTTAAAATACTTTTTTAGTTTAAAAAAGAAATACAATTGATTTGCGAAAAAATATGCGTACCTTGAAAATTTTTTGTCAAATTTAACCAGCATTTTTTATTTTGAGCACACCATTTTGCAATAGTCTGATTATTTAAATATTTACGTAATATAAATAAGACTTCTTTGAACATTTAATAAATTAGTACCGGTTTTCACACTTTGTATATTTGATAAATTTTTGATTATGTAACCAAAATCATTATGTCATATAACAAGACTTGGTACTGGTGCTTAATTTTGACACGTTCGCAAAATAAACACCACAAAAGCTTATAATTAGGACGTTCTGTTTGGTATAAATTCCGCCATTATAATTCAAAGGCAAGTACATTTTTGAGCGTATTATTGATACTTCTCTAAGGCAGTCAGAAATTACTTGTGTTTTGGCTTCATCAGATCTTAATTTAATGGGACTGTTATAGAACGATTTCTAATTTCATTGGGTCTTATTCCTAGTAATATTACATCACATCAGAATCTAAAATTATCTTGCTAATACTTTGCAGTTGACTAATTAGTTGTGAGAAAATTATTCGAAATGCTTACTATAAATGATTTAAGCCAACTTAAAATTGAATGTGCTTTAGGATAAACTGTCAACAGAAAGTCGATACTAATAGTAACAATCACGTATCAATTATCATAAAACCTCTACCAAAATGCTTGAAGTCTACTCTCTGAGATTCATTATGGTACCAAATATTATTGCATTACTACATCGAATGCGATTTCTCTTAAAAGACTCAATAGGGTGTACAGAATATTTATCCACCCTTGCAGCAGGTTAGAGTAAAATAAACTAGTAATATTATAAAACAAACATAAATCAAATCATGACTCAATGCAGGTTGTGGTTCAATGGCAAGCAGTAACGAAAAAGCGACTCAGCCGATATATGTTTTACCTAACAGGCATAATTACAAAAGTCTTTTCGCTAGTACTGAACTACAAAGAGAGTGGTGAAAGAGGGGAAAGTTTTTACTATTTCTAACTACATTATTAATTTATTTCTCGGAGCGTAACTTTTGAATGGAATGAATAATCAACCGCTTACAATTACAAATTGTTAGAGATCAGTGCTTCAATGCTTTGAATCTCCGGAGACCATTATGACAGTTAATTCAATTTTTACTGCTCTGATTTAAGTTCAATAGACTAATACCATTGAGATTTAAAACTTAAAATGTAATATACACAAACTTACTTGTAGATAGTTTACTCATATGTATGTGAATTAAAAAGAAAGTAGACCAGGAAAGTTAATATGCCTGCGTTCCGTTCATGTTATGCAAAGGTTAATAAAGTATTTATTTATTTATAACAAATGGCAGGCGTTTTGATAG